AAAGCAATTATTAAGAATTTAATATCTCCTGATAGATAAGTTTTATTGTTGAGGAACTTCAAATCCCTAATCTAATTTTGCTTAAAAATACTTTTCTAAATCAAATGATATCAACAGCTATTTATTGAGCACCTACTTTTACAGAGCTTTGTGAAAGATGCTATCAATATTTTCAGAACTACTTGAAATTGTACAAAATATTATTTTTATATTTGTATGAGTCTAGATATTTTACAGAGATAAAACCTTCTTAAACAGAGGTTTTTCCTTTAACAGGAAGGAAAGAAATAAAGTGGGAGAAACTAAAAGCTTTAGTCTATTTTTTAAAAGTATAGAATCATAGAACTTTAGGGCAAGATAAAATCTTGAACTATTATGATTATTTGATTTTGCCAGAACTATAAATATTATATGCAAATGCAAAGTTAATCGATCATCTATTCATATAATTTCACCAATGTAAATATGACCGGATATTTAACCGGGCATTACTTAATTGGCCCTATGTCAACTCACAACTTTGTCTCTAAATATATTTTGCCTAAAATGGTAAGAAACACGTTTCTAGAAGTTCTGAATTTGGGGCTTCTTTTTAAAAGATTTAACATATTTTCTTGATATTAACAAATGTATTTCTAAATTTTTTTAATATGTATTTATTTTTGAGAGAGAGAGAGACAAACAGAGCATGTGCAGGGAAGGGGCAGAGAGAGAATCTCAAGTAGGCTTCAAGCTCTGACCCGTCAGCACAGAGGCCGACATGGGGCTCAAACTCACAAGCCATGAGATCATGACCTGAGCAGAAGTCAGATGCTTAACCAACTGAGCCATGCAGGGCAGGCACCCCTAACAAATGTATTTCTAGATAGCCAACATAGGCTCTCCAATTCAGGTTTTGCTTAGGAGCATTTCACAATGGCATTTATCATATCCTGCCTTGTGTGAGTTGACTCCCCAGTTAGAATGTGATGCCCCTGAGAGCAAGAACCATGCTTCTTCACATTCAGTCCACCATAGTTACTAACTCAGCACTTTCGACCAAGGTGCCATTTAAAACTATTTGCGGGAAGGAAAAAGGAAAAATAAGAGTAAGCTAAAACTTTGAAGTATTAATTTGATAATACATGTTTCTTACGTGTTTCTTCAAACACACAAAACTGATTCATTAGCTTTGATTGACATAACCAACCTATTCAATCAGATTATTTAAGAGAATATAGTTGTTCTAGGATTTAATGACTCCATTTGTAACTCAGGAATGGTGGAAAGAGCATGGACTTTGACATGGAGTTCCAATTCAGCTGTCTACTACTTTGTAACGTTGACCAGGCTACCCAACCTCTTCAAGCCTCATTTTCTCCCTTGTACAAAAAGACTGGTAATAGATTCCTGGTTTATCATGAAGAGAGAATAGATTTGAATAACTATCCTGCTTGCTTCTTATTCAGAGTGTGACCACGAATAATTAATCTCTCTAGTTCTCAGATTCCCTGCCTACTTAATAAATATTAATTAAGTCATTCAACACATATCATTGAGCATCTACTAAGAACCAGACACTAAACGCACACGCGTGCACGCACGCGCGCACACACACACACACACACACACATTATATGTTATAATCCAGTCCGATGTTAAATAAAATATAGGAAGTTAAACAGCACAGACAAATAGGGGGCGTATTTCCACCCTGGGAGTAAAAAGAGATGTCCTGATGGAGAAGATAAATGAACAAAGACCTGAAGCAGGAATAAATGTCAGCCCTATGAACAATGTTTGGGGAAGGATTTCTAGAGAAGGGGAGAAAATAAAGGCAAGGAGGTGTGGGAAAGTATGGTTTACCTGGAGTGCCCTGATAGCACAATCCTATTTGAGGTGAGAATGGGTAAGAATGAAACTAAGAATAGGCCCAGGCTAGAGGGGGCTTCAAATTATTTTGTAGACACTCTGAAAGGTGTTAAACAAGGAAGTGACACCGATGGAATGCATTGTAGAAAGAAATAATTATAGCTAAAATGTGCAGAACCTAAGAACAAGGCGGTATCACTAGAGAAAAGGGCTGTGACATTCATCAGGCAGAAATGACGCTCTGAATTATACGGTTGTAGTTGAAATAGGGACAGGTTTGAGAAATGTTTAGAATATAAAACAGGTAAGACTGCTTGGTTGTGAAGCTGAGTGAGAAGGAAGAACCAAGGTGGATGTTCAGGTCTCTGGCTGGTAACCAAAGCTCTGAAGCAAGAGAGCAAAGCAGGTTGTGAGGAGGGGAACAAATAATAAATTCAGTTTACAATATGTTGAATTTGAGATTGCAGTCAGACGTGTCCAGAAAGCAAACGGGTAAGTGAGCTTAGAGAGCTAAAACCTGAAGATAGAGATTGAGACATCTACAAAATATTGCCTACCTTTCAAATGAAGCACAGGACTAAGGCAGATAATACACGTAAAGGGCCTAATGCTAGAAAGCGCTATAAATAAAATAAATCAGATGCATATTTAGGTACCTCAGTCAATAAATGTAATATCTATCCTATCCTGGGCAAGATTATAAAGCAATCTCTTTAGTTAGATAGAGCCTAAAATTAAAGCTACAGCTTAATTCGAGCCGCCTCTCTCTAGGTTTAAAGAAAGCTTAATGGGGCGCCTGGGTGGCTCAGTTGGTTGAGCATCTGAGTCTTGATTTTGGCTCAGGCCATGATCCCTGGGTCATGGGATCGAGCCCTGTGTTGGGATCTGTGCTGAGTGTGGAGTCTGCTTGAGATTCTTTCTCTCCCTCTGCCCCTCTCTACCACTTGCTTGCTCTCTCTCTCTCTCTCAAAATAAATAAATAAATAAGCATTAAAAAAAGAGAAAGCCTAATAAGCTGTCAATCATCCAGTTGTTTCTTCTCTAATCACTAAACTGTCAAGGAGTTGGCTCAATGGACCATCCTCCCCCCACTATAACCCAACAGTTGACCTGTCCACTTGCCTCCTTTGTTAAATACCTCCTGATATAAAGGAACCTGTCAAAGTCCGGTAAAATGTATCCTAACCTAAGGCCTTTGACTTAGGAAATAAACTTTTAAATCTACCAATATAAAAGTGAAATAACACAATTGAGAATGCGGTCCTTCAACTTTCAGTTCCAACTAAGGGATCCAAGTCTTGACAACCTTGCAGAAGATGAAAAAGCTGGGGAAAGATGGAGGGAGCGGCAACTGTTCCTCCTACCTCAGTCTGTCCACATCTCCCTCTCTGAGATTAAAAAAAAGTAACCCGCCAAGAGAGATCAGAACATCAAGTGTTGCTTTTTCTTTCTGTCTGTCTTTCTTTTTTTTTTTAAAGTTTATTCATTTATTTTTGAGAGAGAGTAAGAGAGAGCACACACGCACAAGCATGCAAGCGGGGGGGGGAGGGAGAGAGTGGAGGGGGGAGAGGGAGAGAGAGAGAGAGAGAGAGAGAGAGAGAGAGAGAATCCCAAGCAGTCTCCACACTGTCAGCATAGAGCCTGACACAGGGCTCAATCTCAGGAACTGTGAGATCATGACCTGAGCCAAAATCAAGAGTTAGACACTCAACCGACTGAGCCACCCAGGTGCCTACTTTTTTTTTTTTTTTTAAGTAAGTTCAATGCCCAGTGTGGGCCTTGAACTCACAACTCAGATATCAAGACTCATATGCTCTACGGACTGAGCCAGCCAGGCACCCCAGGTGTTCTTTTAGGCCACTTTTAGAGGACTCTACTCATTTAATCTTTTAAAACTGACCTGCGCAAGCAATCAAAGAAACCTTACATTTGATACAAATTTCTAACTATGGATATCTAAAAATTATAATTAAGAAAACAGTACCTCCAAAGTTTTGACTTACACTTAATAAATTTTAAATTTTTTTTGGTATGTTCAAAATTTAAGTTGGATCAGCTATATACTTTACATCTACCATACCATAATATTTGAGAATTAAATTTATTTACTGCCACAGCCCAAAAGGAATAATCAGGCAAAAGTCTGTTAAGAGATAAGTCATTAATGGATCGTGACTGTTCCCAAGATGTGAAGAAGCCTTGTCTTTTAAAGGTGAAGATTATTGAATTAATTCTTAAAATCGAGTGGAGTAACATGGATTATACTTTCTTTCCTTATAGTCAGACTACCCCTGAAAACTAAGCTGTAAGTGTCATTATGTTTTCTCATCTGCACATGCACATTTGTATTAGAAGAAAAAGCCTTTCATGTGATTGATAAAAATCCCCAACTATATACCGTTAGTTTTCTAGGTCTAAAATCTGATTTTAATCCTGGCTTCAAATCAGGAAGATCAAAATTCCATAGTGAAAATGTGCAGCAAGTTACCTATGAGAGCCATATTTTGTGAACTGTTGAATTTATGGACAATATTTTTTCCAGAAAATATCACACTTTGATTTTCCCAGGGCTTATACAATGCCACAGAAAAGGTCCTGTTTATGATCCCTTAGTTCTCTCAGGAGAAAGGGAAAGAAAAGTACTTTTCCTTCTAATGAAATGGAAGAATTGCTCTTTGAGAACAGCAAGCAGGCTGTGAAAGCCCTCTCTGCCCTGATATGAAGGAAGTGCTAACACAACTCAGCAGCCTATCTCCCTCCTTGCTGTAATTTAAAATAAGTAACGAGAGAAGAAGAAATGAGTTTCCTTGATAGTTGAAAGAATACAATTTCTACTTTGGGACTTTATGGACTATAAAATTTAGGAAACTTTTGGAGTTAATACTCAGGAAGGGGTATTAGGGCCTTGTCTGGAATGGTTAAAGAAAAAGATTCCAAAAGCCAGAAGAAAACCTTCTAATGCCATGATCTTATGACGTTCTCGCCCTAAGCACTCAGTCAATCCAAACAGTTTCATTCACCAAGGTCACCAGCAAGTTAATGACTCAGAATCAGTCAAGGTTTCTCTGTTGTCTTATCTTGTAGATTTTGATCCAAATAAAAACACTCTCCTTCTGCCTTCCCACGGTTTTGCATGAAGCGTCTCATACCTCTCCCAGCCTGTAACCAGTATTGTCTTCTTAAGAACCAGAATCTGTGAAATATCCACAGCTCCCTCTTGCCCAACATTTAGGGTGTGGTGACAGTATCCGTTGAAGTCCCATACCTTTAAGAGAAAATCTTAAATCACCTTTGAGACAAGAAAAGAAAATGTCTTCTTCAGTGAGTTAAACAACACAGGGTAATCAGATTAGTTTAAGCTTTTGTGTTTATATTCTGGACTAGGGTTGATTCACTTAAGGTATGCAACAATTAAAGAAAATCCTCTCACCATTTAAATTTACCCATTATATTTATAATTCTACTTGTAACCCTACCCGTCTATTCTAATAATGGTTGACTCAAAAGCTATTAGTTAGTATGTATTTTTAAGGGGGAGACTACAAAATCACTTAGAGTTACATTTTGGAGCGTTGAGATCATGGTTCTCTAAGTAAATCGCTCTAAATTTCAGTTTCCTCATTTATGACACAGGAAGCTTACTCCTCCGGGACATTTGGAGGATTAAGCATCTAATACAGAGCCTGAAACACAGTCCTTAGGTATAGGTTTCCCATCTGCTCCCAGTAAAATGTCCTATTGTTAGTGGATGCCAGACCCAGTCCTACAGAGGAGAAGAACTCTTGAGTTTACTTCCTCAGGCAGTGGGTCAGGACCCAGGCCCAATGGGGACACTTTACAACAGAACATCACCAGCAGTTAAAACTAAGCCCTGCTATGAAACATTGCTGGTGCCTCATACACAAAGACCAAGCTGGCAGTATGAAAATTAAATTGCATATACCCTTTGAATTAAAAATTCAACTTCTAGGAAACTGTCTCACAGAGACACTTAGATGTGTGAAATGACATGTTTTAAAGGCTATTCTTTTTTTTTTTTTAAGATTCTTTTTTTCAAGTTCATTTATTTATTTTTAGACAGAGAGAATGAGCAGAGGAGGGGCAGAGAGAGAGGGAGACAGAGGATCCAAAGCAGGCTCCATGCTGACAGCAGAGAGCCCGATGTGGGGCTTAAACTCACGGACCGTGAGATCATGACCTGAACTGAAGAAGTCTGATGCTTAACTGACTGAGCCACCCAGGCAGCTTTGAAGGCTCTTCTTGAGGCACTGTTTATAAAAGCAAAAGACCTGAATCAACCCAGTTGCTCATTAACAAGGGACTAAGCAGAGGGCCTGGGTGGCTCAGTCAGTTGAGGGTCTGACTTCAGCTCAGGTCAGGATCTTACAGTTTGTGAGTTCGAGCCCTGCGTCGGGATCTGTGCTGACAGCTCAGAGCCTGGAGCCTGTTTCAGATTCTGTGTCTCCCTCTCTCTGCCCCTTCCCTGCTCATGCTCTGTCTCTCTCTGTCTCTCAAAAATGAATAAACATTAAAAAAATTTTAAAAACAAAAAACAAAAAATAAGGGGCTAAACAATCAGAATATGGAATATCTATACAGTAGCATATAATGCAGCCATTAAGACGAACATGTCATTTCCATATTTCTAAGCTCTGCCCAAACTGGACCAGCTATGAAACGTTAAGCAATTTGCTTTATCTCCTTGGGCTTTAGTGTCCTCCTCTGTAAAAGTGGCATAATAATAATACCAACTATATAGATATATAGATGTGGGGAGTGTAGGGGTGTGCATGTGTAAAGGGGTGTGTATGTATAAAGTGCTTACAACAGTGCCTGGCTGTTAGTAAGTATGCAATAAAAGTTAACTACATTGTTAATAACAATGTCAAGATCCAAGACAGTATGCAAAATGTGGAACTTTGTATATACTGGGTTGCCACTGAGAAACAAATGGTGCTCCTGGGCTAGAAGGATGCATGAGAAACCATTAACAGTAGTAGCTACAAGGGAGGTGAGAAAGAGACTTTCTTTTCACTGTATAACTCTTTGATATTTCAAGTTTTACTGTATGCATACATTAATTATTCAAAACACTAATTAATTAAAAATCAGACACTTCAAAACCATGATAAATAGGGCAATACTTTTAAATCTTTGATGACATAGGTACTGGTTTTGGATTCTAAATTATAAATGAGATTGGAAAATGCCATTGATTCCTGTCTCTTCATAGAATATGTCCAGAGCAGCTCAACTCTGATTTATGCATCCTACATAGAGGTTGCCAAATTTCAGAATTCTGTTATTATGATAACGATAAATGTACTTTCAAAAGCTGTGATTATACTACTAAATTCACATTAAGCCTTCTAAGATGCAGGGCTTGAGCTGAAATGTTGAAGGGTGCTCTTCACCCATGTCACTTCATTGTCCTCTCAACATGGTTCCTACCAAGCCCACCCAAAATAACACCCACACATAGGTATCGCGAAGATCTGACTGTCCCCAAGTCCTATTAAGTCCTTTAGCTGGGACTATCTGCAAGCTCTTAGCAACCCCGTAGGTTTGTAAGTCTGCCCTACTCTGGACTGTGTAGTTGGTTACTTTCCAAGACAGGGGTGAAAGAAACCTCATCTATTCATTTCAGTTCTCAGTTCAGTCTCATACCCTGGGACTAGTAAGTGGGATACTCACTTGTTCCTTTTACCTAAGCCTGTCTGATACTCCAGTTTCAGTTGTTCTTTTTATTCCACCTTGACTATTGGGGTTGGAATTGTCCCATTACCTTCCCAACGCCTTTCCAGTAGTCCCGTAAACTAGATTACTTAAGCCCAAACTCTCAGTCCCTAACCTCATGCTGTTAACCTTCCCAGAGGCCCAGCTCTGTTGATTTTCAGAAATTCTCATTGCAGCCTGCCATAGCACCTCCTTCACATTGACAGGTGCCACCCTAGAATCCCCTGAACTCCAACTTCCATCATGTTCCACATACATATCCAGATAACCTTCCGTTAACCCCTTGGCAGGCTACCGGCATGCAACATACACCCCACCATGGAAGATACACCTAATTAATACCCTTTTCATTCCAGTTATGACAGAAGTTGAGAAATATTCAAAGCTTATTCTGGGAAACTGCCTTCTGTTGCCTCAAAGTGTCACAAGCCATCTCCAATCAAAGATTGTCATTAGTCTCAGAGCTGAGGGGGGCAGAGATGATTCACTGGTAGGCATGATTGCAGATAGCAAATATCTAAGCTTTGCATGAAAATTTGATCATTTTTCAAAGTATAATAGCTCTCATCTCCCAACAGAAATTAGTAATAGCTATAAAATAATAAAAGTGGAAGTATTAAATACTGTAGGTTTAGGGTGATAATAAATAAGATAGTGATTGTTCTTTCTATTATCTGTCTTCACCGTCTCACTTGCCTTCACATAAACGTGCAAATTATAACATGGGTTGATTTTGAAATATTCATTTGCCCCCAAATTTGCATCTGTGCCATTTTAACAAGTTTTCTTGGTTGCACTGATTTCTTATTTTACAAACTAAGAAGAAAACTAGGGACATTAGCTGAAGCATAGGAAAATTATTCAGACTTCTTATTCCCCAAAGTAGTCCTCTATCCAGAACTCGGAGAAAGGCTTTCTGAAATAAGTATGCCAAGTTGTGTTTTTATTATAAATAATTTATTCAGAGAAATCATTTATTCATTTTTCCACTGAGGCTTTTTTTTTTTTCCCTAACAGCTTTGTTATTAGATGGTATGGGTTATTTAACTCTTCTAATCTTGTCTTGTCTTTCCTCTTGCATGGCCAAAAAGGCAGAAACAAATATAGCTATAGCTGTGTCTCTTCACATAGTATTTTAGCTTCCTCATATGTGGATAGAAAGCATCACTGTGTTCTCACCTTTACAGTCCCATCTGTGCTGCCAGTCAAAAGCCGTGTCTCATTTGCATCAAGGGCCATAGTGCTGATTTCTGCATTGCCATGGCAACCAGTAAACTGTTTGATTTTCTGCCCAGTGTCTATCATCCAGAAGGCAACAGTAGACCCCTCATCACAGCTGATTACCTAAGAGAAAATAACATTGTAAAGAAATTAAATATAGTCCCAGAAGCCACCATTTTCATTTCAATAAAAATATCTAATCTGTGAATTTTCACTACTGAGATCCACCCACCGCCATCGTTAGAGGCGCATTTGTAACACACTTTCTCTTTGTTAAGCTGATAACATTTCAATTCTTGAACTAGAACTGAGGTAAAGCAGTCATGAGTCTCTTTACCAGAAAAGATAGGACTTTACTTCTTTTACCCACCATTCAGCTTACTGTCTAGAGGCCATACTGAAATCGAGTCCTATTGAAAATAAACTTTAAAATCTTCTGCATTTAAGTGACAAAGCTGATTTTAAGTCACGGTGCTCCCACACTATTTACTATATGAAAAGAAGCATTTTACTATGCACCAGCTTCCGTTTAGCATTCAGAAAAGAAAGTGCTACCCAACATTATCGGGGGGAGGGGAGTTAATTTTAACAAAATGCTAGAGCTATCACTTTCAATTACATTAGTCCCTTTCTTCCTCCTTTCTCAAGGTGCTGCATATATGTCTACAGCGAAACACAATTATTCATGACTTGCTAAAAACAAAGAACACAGGAGGGTTAAATCTAAATCTGCAATATACACCCCAAGAGGAAGGCAACAAAGCAAATGCTAGAAGGGATGGGACCACATATAGTAGCCCGACAATGGGAAATTTTATAGTGGCAAGCCACCTGCTAATTTCAGCGCTAGGTATTTAGGCACCCTTTCAGAGGTTAGAGTCACCTCACCCAGGGGCACCTGGGTGGCTCAATAGGTTACGTGTCCAACTTTGGCTCAGGTCGTGATCTCACAGGTCGTGGGTCTGAGCCCTGTGGAGGGCTCTGCACTGACAGTGTGGAGCCTGCTTGGGATTCTCTCTCTCTCTCTGCCCCTCCCCCACTTGTGTTCACGCTCTCTCTCTCTCTCTAAAATAAACAAATACACATTTCAAAAAATCATCTCACCCATATGATTTTGAGACCCAAAAGAATGAAAACCAAATGGACAACACTGAACACACAAATCGGTAGATAGGAAGGGGCCCGAAGTAACAGGCAGACTTTGAGAGAACTTCGGGCATGTTTTTGTCTTCATAGGTATCGATTACCATGGTATAAATGTTAAGTGTGACAATAATATGTCAATTTGAGTATCCCATTTTTATAATTACATAGGTTATTAAAATGTATCAAATGTTGGGGCGCCTGGGTGGCGCAGTCGGTTGAGCGTCCGACTTCAGCCAGGTCATGATCTCGCGGTCTGTGAGTTCGAGCCCCGCGTCAGGCTCTGGGCTGATGGCTCAGAGCCTGGAGCCTGTTTCAGATTCTGTGTCTCCCTCTCTCTCTGCCCCTCCCCCGTTCATGCTCTGTCTCTCTCTGTCCCAAAAATAAATAAAACGTTGAAAAAAAAATTAAAATGTATCAAATGTGTATTCAGAAGGCCTCGAGAGCTGGCCATCACACATGCATGCATTCATTCGTTTTGGTGGCAAGCATTGAATGTCCACTCTGTGCCCAGCTCCGTGAGAGCAGCAGGGATCACTAATGAATCCCTGCTCTGAAGGAATCTGCAGCCTAGCCTTGAACACTAAAATCACCCGAGGAACTTTACAAACCATGCCTGTGTACCAGATCAGAGACTCTGCTGTAACTGAATTAAGGAAGGGGCATTTTTTAAAGATCTTCTCGGGTTCCTGAAGTGTGCACCCTGGGTTGAGCACTATTGGCGTAGACAGAACAGACAAGACACAGACAAATGCCAAACAAAACTACAGGTTTAGCGGTCTCTCCCCTGGTTGTTGCAGAGGCACAGAGAGGAAAACCCAAAATCCACTCGCTGGGATGGGGGATGGGGAATAAAAGGTGAGGATGATCAATGTGGGATTGAAGATAGGAACTGCATTTATTGGATGCCAAGCCCTTTACACTGCCTATCTCACTTAATCTTTCTAAAAACTCTGTAAATAATGTTAGTGCCCTCATTCTACTAGGGACAAAATTGAGATTCTAATCAGCTAAGCACCATTCCCAAGCCTACATACTGAGGTTTGAATCATGGGCTATCTATGACAGACATAGATCATCAGGCCTTCTCTATTGTAGCATAGTATTCCAGATAATTAAGAGTGTGGTTAGAAGAGAGAACTTAGACAGTATTCTACACATGAGAAGCAATACGAAGTGTAATGGAGCCAGAGTATGCAGACGAGGAGATAGGCGGTGGGATACGAGGTGAAGACGCAAGCTGGTGACTGGTACTGAAATTCCTACTGAGCTGTGCTGGAGATCTTAACCAGGGAGACTGGTCCAATGGTGAGCAGAGAGGAAGGCGGTGGAAGGGTGGGTGAGACAGGTGATGGAGATTAAGGAGTACACTTGCCGTGATAAGCACCAGGTGATGTGTGGAAACGTTGAAACCCTAGACTGCACACCTGAAACTAACATGACACTGTATGTCAGCTAAACTGCAATTAAAATGTTTGAAAAGAGCAATGTTAGAGAATAATGAGTCATGTGTATAAATGACTAGGTAGGGGCCTTAGCTTGCAAGAGACTGTCAAGTGGAATGTATGCGTCAAAATCAACAGCAGTCACTGTTCTTGGTGAGGGCGAGAGTGATACAGCGTTTTTTGTTGGTCGGTTTGTGAAGGTACTTCTGGCAACTATGTGGATAACAAGTTGGGGGTGTAGGAAAACCATCTGGGGACTTCTGTCATAGTCCAGGCAAGAGATGTTCACCTGAAACAGCAGTTCAGAGGTAAAAAGGAGAAAAGAGACAGGAAAAAAAAAGGGCCACCATTTAGCAACATTTGTGTTCAGCAAAGAACTGATCGTGAGCACATGATCTCTTACAGCCTTTTCCCCCTGAAATTACAAACTGCGACTCTGAATCAAACAACTTCTTAAATGATATAAAACTATATGTATGCTACACGTTTTCTCTCATGAAATCAAAAGTAGCTTAAATATTTCATCACCGTTGTGAAACAACAGCATGGTTTCTAGGACAAATGGCCTGAATCTTGAAACAATGTGACCTACCTCTTCAATTACCGCTCGGTATTAACTGACTGTGTTTCTGTTCCTTTGCTGTGTGCAATATGCATGGGGGTCGAGAGCACCAGGTCTGAACCTAGGATGCCTGAGTTTGGAGGTCAATTGTTTGACCTTGGGCTCATTACTTAACCTCTCTAAGCTTCAGTTCCTTCACTTATAAACCAGGGAGAATCATAGTAACTGCCTCAAACCATTTTTAAAAGGTTTAACTAAACTAATATTTATAAAGCATTTAGCATAGTGCATGGCATACGATAAATAAGCCTTAAAAGTTAACTAGTGTTACTATTCTAGTTAAGCTTTATTTGTCTGACTCTCTATTTTAGGTGATATCACTTTTCATATCCAAAGTAGTTCAAAAATATTTAATGTCTTTCTTTCAACCATGACAGCGAATATAGACAATTACAATTTTAGAAGCCAGATTGTAGATGTACATTGAAATTTCAAATTAGATCAGATTTGTGAATTTTTCACATAATTACCTAGGAATTTCAATTGCATTCATCAAAAACAAAACCATGAAAACATACAATTTTCTAAGCATGACTGAAAATTTTGATGGCGTTTTAAGAAAAAGTTAAAGGTTGTGAAGGGTTTTATTATTTCTATTCAAAAAGTATTTATTGACCACTTACATGTTAGGCATTTCCATACTAAATGATGGGCTATTCCCTGATAAGGACAAAACAACACAAAACAAAAAAAGCAAAGTAAAATGTGACCACGTTCAAGGAGAAGGCTTGCCTACTTGTCCGAGACTGGCATCGTCCGCGTCACAAAGCATCTAATCAGCAACCACACCACTTTTATCTGCTGTAGACATTCAATGAGTAATTAGTAACTTTCCCACTTTGCTACTTGCAGCAAAACTCTCCCTCCACTGCCCACCTGGCTGAGCCCTAACACTATTCATCAGTTTTCAGCACCTTTCTCTGCTCATTTAATGATTTTTCATGAAATCAGAATCAATAATGGCAATAGTATATAGCCAGTCGGATTTCATTTTATGGCAGTCTGCAACCCCCAGGAAAACAATGTGCTGAAAAACAAGGACTGACTGTGTCACAAACATCCTACCAGGATTAACCAGACTCTGCTCTCACTATGACAATCTCAGAATACAAGAATAGCAAGGCAGGCAAAAAGACTTCAAAGTTTGGTGAGAGGAGTGCACTTAACATCACTTGGCAGGTGAAGGAAGTGTTTGACTACGGGACGGTGAGGACTTTATTTTTAGCAAGCTGATTTTCTCAGTAATAAAGCCCAGGAATAAGTATTGGCATCATATTTACAGGCCGGATTTTGATGATAACAAATCTCATGAAGTTTTTGGTTCATTCCTGGCTGCTGCTTATCAGATGAGACCTCAACCGACGAGGACGCAGCAGGGCCCCGGCAGTATGCAGGGCAGAAATGACACTACCCTAAGAACTTCACTCCAGCGCAAGTGGGTTTCAGAGCAAATCTTTGTTCTCCACCTTATGTACCCAAGCTAATAACCATTTAGGAATATATGGGTCTTTTTGTCTCTCTCATCTGAAGCTGTCACAGACAATGAGGCAATTCTAGGAGATACGAGGTTGTATCCGTGTCCCTTAATTGTCTTCTTATATTCCAACAGCAGTAGGCATTTTAGTTGTCTCTCCATGCATTCCAAGTCCTAGGTCTAAGCAGGAAGGGAAATCAAAAATTATAGCAGCAGATATCGCTGGCTACCAAGGGATGAGGACATTTGATTTAATTGCTGTTTATAGTTCTATTTTCAGTCAGTCCTGTTTGAGGCCCCATAATATAAAGCAGGCTACCTCCTTTATTTCTATTGTGCATCAAATCTCTTAGAAGTTATATCTCTGTAAGTAGTGAGGCGAGGGGAATGATAATATCGAAGTCCTGGTACGGAAGAGGATTCAAATATTTTAAGGCAG